GGCCGCGGCAGGGCCGCGTCAGGGCGCCGCCAGGGGCCGCGTCAGGCCGCGTCAGGGCCGCGTCAGGGCGCCACCAGGGGGCGCGTCAGGGGCCGCGATAGGGCGCCGGCAGGGGCCTCGTCAGGGCGCCGCCAGGGGCCGCATAGGGGGCGCGTGGGAGGCGGCGTAGGGGCCGCGTAGGGGCAGCGTAGGGGCCGCTAAAAAAAAAAAATTAGGGCAGGGCGCAATGTGCGCGGGCAGCTAAAAAAAAAATCTTATGGTGGGCCCTTAGGAAGGAACGGTCCCATGTAGGAACCCGCTCTATACCATGTGAATTAAGAAAACAGGAATGAAATGACTAAGTGAAAGTTGGGTACAAAAGGCAAACCCTAGGCAACTGTACCCCATATGTGCTACCCCACTATAGCCTACAGTAGCTATGTCATATAACTCTGACACGAACATGCAACAACAATTGGGTCGTTCGATGCTTTTGCCTACGCCTATAGGGATCCATGCGCTTCCTCAGCATTTGTCGGGAGGTACGACCGGCATCGCTGGAGCCGAACTTTTTTGCGCGCGCGAATCAAGCTGAAGTTGCTCTGGTAGGTGTATCTGAACATGGGCCACCCGAACATGCAACAACATTCGGGTCGTTCGATGCTTTTCCTTGCGCCTAAAGAGATCCATGCGCTTCCTCAGCATTTGTCGGCAGGCACGGCCGTCATCGCTGGCGCCAAACTATTCTGCGCTCGCGAACCAAGCTGAAGCTGCTCTGGTAGGTGTATTTGAACATGGGCCACCCGAATATGCAACAACATTCGGGTCGTTTGATGCTTTTCCTTGCGCCTATAAGGATCCATGCGCTTCCTCAGCATTTGTCAGCAGGCACGGCCGTCATCGCTGTCGCCGAACTATTCTGCGCGCGCGACCCTAGCTGAAGCTGCTCTAGTAGGTGTATTTGAACATGGGCCACCCGAATATGCAACAACATTCGGGTCGTTCGATGCTTTTCCCTAATGCCTATAGGGATCCATGCGCTTCCTTAGCATTTGTCAGCAGGCACGGCCGTCATCGCGAGCGCCGAACTTTTATGTGCGCGTGACCCTAGCTGAAGTTGCTCTGTTAGGTGTAGTTGAACATGGGCCACCCGAACATGCAACAACAATCGGGTTGTTCGATGCTTTTGCCTACTCCTATAGGGATCCATGCGCTTCCTCAGCATTTGTCGACAGGCATGGCCGTCATCACGGGCACCGAACTTTTCTGCGCTCACGAACCAAGCTGAAATTGCTCTGTTAGGTGTATTTGAACATGGGCCACTCGAAGAAGCAACAACATTCGGGTCGTTCGATGTTTTTGCCTATGCCTAGAGGGATCCATGCTCTTCCTCAGCATTTGTCGACCGGCACGGTCGTCTTCGCTGGCGCCGAACTTTTCTGTGCGCGCGAACCAACCTGAAGTTGCTCTGATAGGTGAATTTGAACATGTGCCACCCAAATATGCAACAATATTGGGGTCGTTTGATACTTTTGCCTACGCCTAGCGGGATCCATGCGCTTCCTTAGCATTTGTGGGCATGCACGGCCGTCATTGCGGGCGCCGAACTTTTCGGTGCGTGCGAACCAAGCTGAAGTTGCTCTGGCAGGTGTATTTGAACATGGGCCACCCAAATATGCAACAACAATCAGGTCATTTGATGCTTTTCCCTACGCCTATAGGGATCCATGCGCTTCCTCAGCATTTGTGGCCAGGCAAGGCCGTCATCGCGGGCGCCGCATTTTTCTGCGCGTGCGAACTAAGCTAAAGTTGCTCTGGCATGTGTATTTGAACATGCGTCACCCAAATATGCAACATCATTCGGGTCGTTCGATGCTTTTCTCTGGGATCCATGCGATTCCTCAGCATTTGTCGACAGGCACGGCGGTCATCGCGGGCGCCGAACTTTTTTGCGCGCGCGAACCAAGCTGAAGTTGCTCTGGCATGTGTATTTGAACATGGGCCACCCTAATATGCAACAACATTCAAGTCGTTCGTGTCGACGGGAGTTGTGGTAGGCCCCGTCCTCGCTTGGGCGGAGCCGATTTTGTGGTCGAGTGTAAGGGGTGCAGCCGACATGCAGCAGTGGGGCAAGCTAGTCGACGGGGCTGGTCGGCCTGCACGGGAGCCACTACAAGGGCGCCGACTTTGGGCGGTCGACCTGGCGAGGTCGAAATCGGAGGCGTCGACTTGGTGGCGCCGACTTGGGGCAGCCGACTTTGTGTGGTCGGCTAACTGTTGTGCTGGCCAACCTGGAGTTGGTCGACCATGAGTGTCGTCGACCAGGAGTTGGTCGACGAAGTGCGACGTCGACTTGGCGTAGTCGACCAGGGGTGGTCGTCGACCTGGGTGGTCGACGGGCACAAGGAGGAGCCGGTCGACGAGGTGGTTGCTCGTTCGACCAGGCTATCTTGGTGACAAGGTTCTGCGGAGGAGTGCGACGGTCGCCCAGGTGGTAGTGGTGAGACCAGCCTCAGTGGTGGTATCCCGAGGTCGACGTGGCTGATCAGATGCGGTCGTCAGCACGAGGTTGATTCGGTGTGTGTGCTGTGTAGGTGACAAGGCACAGCACGCCAATCATCTGTGGGCACTTGCGAAGTAGGTTCGCTGCTGTTCTGTTGGAGCAACGCTGGCACGTCGTCGTCTTGCAGCGTTGGCACGCTGTTGACCTGCAGCGCTGGCAGGCCGCGACTGTGCACTACTGGAGCACGGTCGACCAAGCTGTGCTGGAACGCGGTCGACCGTAGTGCGCTGGCAGTCGACCTACTTGCGTGCTAACTCTGATGTAATCTTGTCTTGCCAACATCTTTGTACCATTGTTGCCAACTTTTCCTAGTGAAACTCTTGTCAATTCTCCACGTGAACTAGCAAGTGGTGTGAACACAAGGATACGACTAAGGAACGAACGCAGAGATACCTCTCTTACATACGTGCCTAGCCCGTAGTCGTACAACCTAAATGTTACTGCACATTCGAGTGGCTCGTGTTCAGATACACTTATTAGAGCCAAATAAAAGTTTGGTTCGTGCGCAAAGAAAAGTTCAGTGCCTATGATTTCGGTTGTTTTTGCCTAAGAGTGTATTCCTATCCTCGTATCAAGAAAACCTCATATCAAGATTGTACTTTTTGCCTGGTAAAAGTAGCGAGAGGTTTTGGGTTTAGGGGAATTTTCAGTGGGAAGTTGATATGAGGTTTTCTTGATACGAGGATAGGAATACGCTCTAAAAATGCTTGTGTTGCGCATGAATCCGTATAGGCGTAGGGAAAAGTCACTTGGACCAAGTCGTCACTTGGACCAAGTCGTCACTTGGACCAACTCGTCACTTGGACCAAGTCCTCACTTGGACCAAGTCCTCACTTGGACTAAGCCGTCACTTGAACCAAGTGCTCACTTGAACCAAGTGCTCACGAGTGCCCTAGATATCAGACTTTGTAGTTTGATTCAGAGTCCGTTCATACTTTTTTTTTGTACCTAGTCTTAACTCTAAGCATTTTTTAATATACCTTCTCTGATTTTTCATAGTTTTTTTTATGTATTGGCTGAAAGTTCAGACAACTATTATGAGTGTAGGCTGAGCCTCAGCGTCGTTGTTTCGGGGGTGCATGTCAGAGGTCCACTGGTGATCCCCGATTGATCCTAGGGAAGGGTTACAGGCACGTTGGCCTGGGGGGTTATGTGCGCACTCACTCATTATACAAACAAGTTTTTTTATCCCAATGGTTAGTGGTTAGGATTCTGACATATTTTTCAAGCGAAAGTCTCGGGTTCGAATCATGGTGTATGCACTTCGGGTATCTCAGTGCGGGGGGGTGCCAGAGGTCCACTGGTGATCCCCAATTGATCCTAGGAAAGGGTTACAGGCACGTTGGCCTGGGGGGTTATGGGCGCACTGACCCGCTACTTAACAAGCCCTTTTATCCCAATGGTCTAGTGGTTGGAATTCTGACAGTGTACTCTGAAATGGGTAATGTAGGGGTCTCCGCCAGCCTGGCGGCGTGTTGCACTAACACCGTCATTGACGGGCGGGAAACGGAAAATTTCCCGAGCGCGGCACCGCACAGTCGTGCGACACCGGCAGCTGTAGATCTTCAGGTGTCGGATTCTGAGTCAGATACGGTAGTTGAAATGTTTTTTTACTGAAGTATAAAAGTCAGCTGCCTACAATTTGAGTGCAACTCTGAACTTTCAGCCTAAAAAAAAGGAGTGTTGTCTGAATTTTCAGCCTCAAAATTGGAGGCAACTCTGACTGACAGAGTTTAGAAAATGGTGCACGCTGACCCATCAGAGTGCCCCAAAACGAATCTAGGGGCCTGGTGCTCACTTGGACCAAGTGCTCACTTGAACCCGTGTTCCCCATGCTCCCCGTGTTCACCATTGGAATCAAACCTGCAACCTAGATCAAATGAGTCCAGCACTCTCCAACCAATTGAGCTATTTCGCCGTATTTGATTCCTCCCGGGAACTTTGGAACACGGGCTCGCTTTGGTTCTTTTGTGGGTTCCCTTAGTGGTTCCCTTGGGTACCCAAGGGTTCCCTTGGGTTGGGTTACCCTGGATTCCCCTCCAGGGTTCCCTTCCCTTGCGTTACCCTTGTCCCCTTCTTGGGTCCCCTCAGGTTCCTTGGGTTTTCGTTGGTTCTGTTCTTGAGTTCCTTTGGTTTCCTATGTGTTCCGTTCCTTCCCTTCTTTGGTTCTTTTCTTGAGTTCCTTAAAACCGAAATGCAAAATAGTGAACCCGTCTCCAGCTTAAAAGAGAGCTTGTCGAGCGAAACAATTTTCAAAACCAACCCGACAAGTTCGCACTGTTTCATTGAGAGGGTTTGAACAGATCGAACAAATCTGATTGGTTCCCGCCAAAACTGAAAAAAGGAACACAGCACGTCAGGCGTCGCATCTCTGTTTTGGGAGCCGCAGAGCAGAAGCACTGCGATCGTTTTGTCACGTCCCTGCGATTTTTTGCCCACCTTGTGGTTCAAGTTGGGCATGGGTGAAGTACTACTACGTCTTCCGTTCAGTTTTTCGTGCTTCTTAGTTTTTAGTTGCTTGTCTAGCCATGTAGCCCCAACTTGGGCTGTTGTTACCGCAACTTAGGCGCGTAGTGATTATATGTCATGATTGCGCAGTGATTGTGCCGTTTAGATTACCCTCTCGCCGCCTTCCTATCCCTCCTCACGCGTCCTCGCGCCGTCCGTCTCGACGACGTCCCGTCGCCCGAATTGTCGCCTCCATCGACGTCGCCCTCGCTATCTCCCGTCGCGGCCCTCCCCTCAGTTCGCGTCGCCACGCTACCTCTCCCCTCCCCTCCCATCGCCCTTCCTCTCCCGTCGCCTTTCCTCTCCCGTTGCCCTTCCTCCGTCGCTTTCCTCTCCCACCGCCTTTCCTCTCCCGTTGCCCTTCCTCTCCCGTCGCTTTCCTCTCCTGCCGCCCTTCCTTCTCTCCCGCCGCCCTTCTCTCCCGTTGCCCTTCCTCTCCCGTCGCTTTCCTCTCCCGCCGCCCTTCTTTCTCTCCCGCCGCCCTTCCTTCTCTCCCGTCGCCCTTCGCTCCCGTCGCCTTTCTCTCCCGTTGCCCTTCCTACTCTCCCGTCGCCCTTCCTACTCTTCCGTCGCCCTTCCTACTCTCCCGTCGCCTTTCTCTCCCGTCGCCCTTCCTACTCTCCCGTCGCCCTTCCTCTCTCCCGTCGCCCTTCCTCTCTCCTGTCGCCTATTCTCTCTCCCGCCGCCCTTCCTTCTTCCCGTCGCCCTTCCTCTCTCCCGTCGCCCTTTCTTTCTCCCGTCTCCTATCCTCTCTCCCGTCACCCGTCTTCTCTCCCGTCGCCCCTCCCCTCCCGTCTTCCTCTCTTCCGTCGCCCTTCATCTCTCCCGCCCCATCACCCACCTCGGCGTCTTCGCGCTCGCCCCGAAATGCCTGCCCGTCGCCCCGTGATCGTCGGCCCCTCTCGCTTTTCCCTCGCAGCGTTACTCTCCCCGTCACATATGCCGTCGCTTTTTTCGTCGCTCCTCGCGGCACCCTCATCGCCGCCTTCCCATCACCCTCGTTGCCCTCACTCTCCCCCCATCACCCTTTTTCTCTCGGTTTGTATCACCCCTCTTATCACCCTCACACTCTCCCCTCACATCGTCCGTCACCATCGCGTCACACTTTCTCTCTCCCCTCACATCACCCTCCTTGTCGCCATCGCCCTCGCCTCAAATCGCCCTTCCTCTCTCCCTTCGCATCACCCACGTCGTAGCCAGGGCTGTCGCTTGGTCTGGGCCCAAACCTTACGAAGCTGAGCTGGCCCGAAACAAGCCCTGAAACATCCGGACAGCAGTCAAATATAGTCCTTAAATTCAGGCCATTTGGATTCCTGCTCTGAGCCTCATGCACCAGGAAGCTAAGTAGCTCCAGGTACGTACTCTACCGATCAGAGCACGCTGGTGCGGGAGAGTAGAGAGGGCCTGGGAGGAAGAGAAGTGGGACACGTACACGGTCGAAGGTCAGGAAGAAAGGGGGGAAGGGGGGGGGGGGGGGGGGGGGGGAGGGGAGAGCAGGTACACGGGAAATCCAGCGAAGGCTCCAAACCTGTCCGTAAAGAATACGGGCCAGGAAAAAACCAGCCCTGAAAATATCTGAGCTGAGTTGAAACGAACCCTGAATTCTCAGGGAAAACGGGCAAATGCCCGTGAATCGACAGGCCTGGTCGTAGCCCTGTCGCCCCCCAAATCGTCCCGTCTCCCTTTCGTTCTCCCTCTCGTTCTTCCCGTCGCCCTAGATGCAGCCGTCGCAATTTCCTCTCCCACCCACCATCACCCACCCCATCGCCTTCCCGCTCGCCACAAAACGCCTTCCCGTCCCCCACCCACTTTCTCCTCCCATCGCCTGCCTCGTCGCCTTCTCGCTCGCACTCAACCCCCTCCCGTCGCTCTTCCTCTCTCCCTTCCCATCACCGACCTCGTCGCCCTCGTGCTCGCCCCGAAATGCCTTCCCATCACCTTTCGTCTCTTCTCCCCAATCATTAGTATCTGAAACACTCTCCAGATCGCCCATTGTATCCACCCGGTTCATCACCGACCTCGTCGCCTTCGCTCTTGCTATGTAATGCCCTCTCCGCGCCCTTCCTCCCTCCCCTCACAATCTGTCTTTCCTCCCTGCCTCCCGTTCCTCTCTCCCCTTCCATCCTGTCGTTCCTCTCTACCCTCCCATCCCGTCGTTCCTCCTCTCTACCCTCCCATCCCGTCTTTCTTCCTTTCTCCCCTCCCATCCCGTTGTTCCTCCTCTCTTCCCTCCTATCCCGTCGTTCTTCCTCTCTCCCCTCCCATCCCGTCGTTCCCCCTCTCTCCCCTTCTCTCCCGTCGGCCCCCTTGTCCCCAGTCCCTTCTCTTCGCCGTCGACTAATCAACCGTCCCGACACCATTCCTCTTTTCGTACATCATTCATTTCTTTATTTCTATCTTCTTCGCCTGATTTCACATGTGTGTGCCATGGATTTTGCTTGATCATGCCAGTGTTTGCGCAGGATTTTGCTAGTTTTTGCCAGTGTGCGCGCTGGATTTTGCCTGTGTGCGCTGTTTTTTGCACATAGGAATTCATGTGAAGTTACGACGGCTGCTCTGTTGAATGTGGGATTGCAGCCTTGCGCCAAATTCGTACAGGAATCTGGGTGAAAATCGCCACCAATCAGATTTGTAAACAAGTACATCATGTTTTCTGTTCAGATCAAGACTCGTCTGCGATGAAAAAACATAAAAACGCACAGGCCGTCAACTTTTCAAACGTTCGTAACAAACTTGTGTTTTCAAGTGGACCCAACTGGAAGGGGGGGGTCACTACTATAGCTGCTGGCTTTAAGTTATTGGACAGCGCTACGGGGCGCCATCATGCCAAAAAGAAACAGCAGGCAGCCCATTGCATGCTCAACGATGGCTGTACCGCACACTCCTGGGAAAGTCGTGTCACAATCTTCTGCATTGTATCACAAGGGTTACATAAATACTGCTAACCATCGAATACGCTAGAGACAAACTACCGCGGCATGTGACCCCATCAGGTTCCCCCAGTCCCATCAGGAGGCGCCGTGACCCCATTAGGAGGCGCCCAAGCGGAAGGTGAGTTCGCGCTCCAGCGCGGGTTTTCTCTCCAGCACCGGCTCGTCCAGGTTCACTCTATATCCATTAGCTGCCCCCCATGAGCCCATCAGGTGCCCCCCATGAGCCCATCAGGTGCCCCCCATGAGTCCATCAGGAGGGCAATCAACTGGCGCCCATGCGGAAGGTGAGTTCGCGCTCCAGCGCGGGTTCTTTCTCAACCACCGGCTCCTCCAGGTTCACTCGGAACGTCAGCTCCCTCTGCAGCTCCGGCGGCTCACACTCCTCCGCCTGCTCCCCCCACTGCCCCTGCTCTTGCTCTTGCTCTGGCTGCCCCTGCTGCTGTCGCTGCTGCTGCTGGGCTCTAACAGAGCTGCCACCACCCCTGCCAACACCCCCTGCACCTCTCCCCACCCCCCCCTGCCCTCTCCCACCTGGCCCAACCGCACCCCTCCCACTGGAACCAGCGCCAGCAGCGCCACCACGCCCACCTGCACCCTGCATCCTCCCCCTCCCCACGTCGCCTCCGCCCCTCCCTCCCTCTCCCCCAACTCTCTGCAAACTCCTTCCTGTCCCCACGCCCTCCTGCCGTTGCTGCCCTTGCCCCTGCCCCGGCTGCTCCAGTGCCCGCTGCCCGCCCTGCCTCACAGGGGGCGCACCAGTGTCACCCCCACCGCTCCAGAAGAAGTCATCTCCTGGTGCGCTGTAGAACGCTGCTGCTGCCTGCGACTCCGAGCTCGTTCGCCTGTGCCGCCCGCCCATGGCCCCTCTGCCGCCCATGCCGCCCCGTGCCATGCCACCGGCCACGCCACGAACCACGCCCGGACCTCTCCCGCCCCTACCACCCAGGTTCGGCGCCCCACCCATACCTGCTGCTGCAGTTCCGCTCCCACCTGATCTCCCTCCTCCCACCCCCCTGCCCATGCCTCCTCCCCACCCACTGTTGCCCATTCCCATTCCTCCTGCCGCCCCTCCGCCTCTCCCTCCCCCTGCTCCTCTTGCCGCCGTTGCCACAGGCACTGGCCCTTCCCTGTGCACGCCATTACCATTGCTATTCCACCTCTCTCTCTCGCCCTCCTCGCTCCCACTGAAGCTCACTCTGCTGTGCTCGCCATCACTCCCACTGCCACTCTCACTGCCTCGCGACCGCAAGCTCCCAGGACTCGCGTCCCTGCTGCCCCCTCCTCTCCTGCGCTCCCACCCCCGCCCCCTCTCCCCGTCTTCTCCCCCCCCCTCCCCCTCCTCTGCGTCCTCCTCGCTCTCGCTCCCATTCCCCCTCCCACCACCTGCCCCCCGTCTCAACCTATCCAGGTCTTCATACAACGCGTCTACCCTGTCTCTCATCCCATCATCATCATCAAAATCATCGCCATCAGCGCCGCTCATACTACCACGACCGCCGCCGCCGCCCTCTATTTCATACTCCTCCGCCCTGCCCCCGCGCCTCTCACCGTTCCGCACCCCACTCCCTTGCACTGGCGCCGCAGCAGGCCGTCTCAACTCCCCGCCCATCCATTCCGACCCTTCATTATAGTCACGCACTTCCCTCACGCTCCCTCCAATGCCCCCTCCCAACCTGCTAAGCGCACTCTCCCCTCGTCTCGTCTCCTGCACGCTTAAAAACCGCGATTTCCCCGCTGCTCCCCCCTTTGCCGCGAGCACTCTCCCCTTTGCCGCGCCCCTGCCTCCGCCCATCCCCCCTGGCATTCCCCCACCGCCCTGCGCGCCAGAGGCGGAACCCCACTCCGCCTGCCCACCTTCCGCGTCATCCTGCATGGAGCTAAAATCAGTGGTGTGCAAAAACCCCATCTGAGACTCCGAAAACGTGCGGTGGTGCGCGCGCCCCCGCCCCCGTCCCCCCATCCCCCCCATTCCGCCCATTCCTGCGCGCCCGCCCCGGAACGCCATCTCTCCTCTCCCCTCCACGCCTCTGCCCCGCCCTCTTCCGCGCGCTGCTGGGGCAGCGGCAGAGGCAGCAGGGGCAGCGGCAGCACCTCGACCAGTCCCGGTCGCGCCTGAGGTCCTTCCCACAACCCTCGCTGGAACTGCCACCGGCTCATTGCTATCATCGTCCTCGTCCTCGTCCTCTTCATCGTCACTGCCGCTGAAGCTGGCGTTGCTGTTGCCGCGAGCTTCCCCCCTTGCTCCTGCTGCTACCCGCGCATCTAATCTGCCGCTGCCCATGCCCATGCTCACGCCCATACCGGAACTTGGAGCCTGGGGCGGAGAGCGGCCGGATATCGCTGCTCCTGGCCCTCCCCCTACTCGCCCGATCCCCCCTAACCCCCCCAAACCCCCTGCCCCCTCGGACCCCCCTGCCCTCCCTGCTCCCCCTCTGCCAAGCGGCAACGGCCTGGCGGTGGGGGAAGCGACTTGCGGCGCGAAATCTTCTACGGGCGTCGACAGCGACCGGCGGTGCCACGGCCGCGACCCAGCTTGCGACCCTGCCTGTGACAAATGCGACCTAGCCTGCGACCCAGCCTGCGACCCCGTCGGACCCCTCGTGCCGCCCCCGCCTCCCGTAATTGCGTTAAAAGCAGCACCGCTTCCAGCACTATTAGCACCGCTGTTAACCGCGACGTTACCATCGCCACCGCCGGCGCGTCCCGCGTTCCCCGCAAGGCCGCTGCTTCCCGCTGAGGCGCGCGGATCCCTGGTCGGCGCACCACCGGAGACTGGCGTGCGGGACAGATTCGCCGAGCGCGACTGCGAAAGCACATGCGCGGAAGCGGAACCCCCTGACGTCACCGCGCCTGAGGAGGAGGAGGAGGGGGAGGGAAATGCGGGCGGGCCACTCAACGACTCCGTAACCACGCGCGAGTCGAACGACGCGCCTCGCCGGTGTTGCTGGCGGGCCATCGGGCTGTCGACGGGCGGGTTCGGCCCCGCATACGGCGCGGGGTTCGCGCCGGGGGGCCGCGGGGGCATGCGCAATGACGCGCTCCCCCCGTCTGGCCCGTTTTTCATCCGCTGCGGTCGTAGCCCGCCCCTTCCGCCCATCAACCCCCCGCGGTCGGCGCTGGTGTCAGATATGGAGCTTCGGACCGAATCCTGCCGCCCCACCCGCTGCGGACTCTCTTCCTCCTCGTATTCGTCCTCGCCCTCCTCCTCCTCCTCCTCCTCCTCGTCCGCGACTTTACCGCCGCCATAGGAAATCGCGGAAGTTGCGGCGGAGCTCCCCCTCGCGCCGCCCGCTGCTCCGCGCATTGCGGGCACACGCACAGCAGCGGGGCGCGGGCCGGGCGCAACAGATCCTTGGGGGGACCTGCTGCCGGCGACTAGCGGCCGACTGCTGCCGTCGCCGTCTTGTGAGGCCGAGCGCACCGGTGACCGTCCGTGCTGCTGCATCTGTGCCGGGGGCTGCTGCTGCTGCTGCTGTGTGAAAGATGAATGCTGCTGCATCGCATGTGGTCTCTGCTGCGGCTGCTGAAACCCTTCCCGTGAGAATGCCTCCGACGAAAAGTCTATGGAGCTCGAGGCCTGGCCACTGCTGAACGACATCGCTCTGCGATGGTTACCGGTCGCACGCTGTGGTCGCACAAATCCCCGTTGCGGGCCTCCTTGCGACGGTGGTAACCCTACCTGTGACTCGTCGCCAGGTATCCCGCCTCCCGGCTGATACCCCGACATTGTTTTCCCTAAAGCGCGCCGAGCGTCGGCGCCGTCCAATTGCCGGCCGGAGAACGTGTTGCTGCTGCTGAGAGGGCGATTACGTGGCGACACGTCGGAAATTGTTGGAGCCGAAAAAGCAGGGTTTGACTGAGAAAGGTTTGGCTGAGGGAATGACCGTCTGCGATTGGCTGGCACTTGCTGGAGCCCATTCCTAGAATCTGCGAGCTGCATGGGTCCTCGATAATAGTCGTCATCGTCCTCCATAGCTAATTGGCTGGCCAACTGGACGAGATCCACGAGGAACACGTGATAATGAGAAATCCGCTTCTGGCTCGACCAGACCTCCTAATTCCGAGGTTGAAGGTCCACTAAGGGAGTCAACCCTAACTGGGCAGAGGAGCTAGTCTTCGTAGTAGATGAAGTTGAGGGAGGAAGTGTGGTGGTCTGGCTCGCCTTGGGACTCGACTGCCAAAACGAAACAAGAGCCTTGAGAAAAGCGAGTTAGGTTTCCTTTCCATGGGGGAGGAACCTCGATTGTGACAGTGGCTGCCAGAGGTATTGACATCCATGCCACGTCAGTTCCTAGGCGCGGACGGCTGGATCATGATGTGCTGCAGCAAATCGGACGGACCATGCTTCGGTATTGCGGCCTTTGTTTGCAATGCTATTATGGAAAGTTCAAATTAGCCCTCTGCAGCGTGTAACGAGGCTTCTCGTATACTGTAGTGTGTCGTGTCGTTTGTTGATGGTGGTTGTGGTGAGGCTGGTGACGACGACCCTTTTTCGCATCATACGGAAGCGACTTGGATTTTCGGCCTTGCGACAAATAGTCGGAACAGCCGTGCATGGTGCAAGTCGCACAAACAACGAACAAAAGATACTCACTATTCGAAATCCGATAGGAGTTTATGCGAAATACATGTACTAGCTGTGTTCATGCAAGTGATGACTGGAAAATTTTCAAGATCAACGGAGCTTTATTATTTGCCCTAGGTTCCCGCCTTGATGTGGCCGACCGAGCCGCAGCACCGAGAGCTAATATTTGCCGTGCGATTATGAAGACGTTTTCATCGGTCGGACATGAAGGCCCAGACGATCGTGTCCAAGTCCATCCTAGGTTTGCTCGTGCAACGCGCCACCGTTCCTTGGGCTTGGCTCCTGGAGTTTCCTATAAATTTTTGTGAAGCCCAAAATGTTTTGGCGCACAAGAAACCCGCTGCGCGTTTTGGACGGGTGACCTCGGGATTGGTGGACCATCCCCTGGCCACGAGCTCATCCCAAGCCGCGTTCCGCCGCCCCGCCATTCCCTGCTCCGCTCCGCCAGTTCCTGGTTGCGCGCTTCCCCATTCTCTGCTCATTCTCCGCCTATTCCGCTTGTGTTGCTCCGCTCCGCCAGTGTGGTTGCCTGTTCCAGCCAATCCAGCAGCACCTTTTGGAACACTGGCCCCTGCGCCTGGCGACTGCGAGAAAAGCGCCCCTTCTACCCCATCCCATTCCACCCACATGCCTAGATAGCACCGAGTTGGAGCATGCATGCAACCATCAAGGCCATTGAAGGATAAAAAGCTGAACAGTCACTATATGCTCCTCAGTTAGTTGCGCCAACTCCATTCCAGTGATCGCTAGGTTAATGTCCTGCGGCTCGATCTTCCACTGCTGATTACCTCTGCCTAGTGGGTCCGCTGTCATGGCGACTAAGCTGCTCGCATCGACGCCTCTGGCCAAGACAGCCTCAAATGTAGATGATTTCGAGAAGTTGCGAAGCAACTCCTTTATTCAGCGGACCGCCAGGAGCTTGACTATCATTCAGGCCGCTTGCATCGTCGTCTTCGTTATAGTCATGTAAGTTCTGTTCGTCAGAAATTATCGCCTTCTACGCAAGTCGGATGGAGTTCTAACGCACCGCGTGCTTTTATTTCAGGGCTTTCGGAATCACTAGACATGGCGGACAAAGACAAGGCACAATAGACGTTTTCTCCGACATGGATGGCTCGACATGGGGCGGAGCTGTGTGGGAAGATCAAGTCAGATCTTCCGCGGCTACTCGAGGAAGCGGGATGGTGGTGCTCGTGACGGGAGCAGCAGGCTTCGTTGGCTCGCACACGTCACTTGCTTTGAAGAGGAGAGGCGATGGCGTTGTTGGAATTGACAACTTCAATAGCTACTACCCCGTTGCCTTAAAGCGCGCCAGACAGGAGCGACTATTAGCTAACGGAGTGTAAGCTTGCCGCCCTTTCCAGCCCCCGTTTCGTCCGTTTTGTGAAAGTCAGAACTTTACATCCGTCGACGTGAACTTTTGCAGGTTCATCGTAGAGGGCGATGTCAACGACCAGCGGCTTCTTGCCAAGCTTTTCGAAATCGTTAGATTCACGCACGTTCTTCATCTAGCAGCACAGGTAGGGTCCGAAGCTGAGGCCGGAATGCTAGCGTCATCATTCTACGTTCTGCGAGCTTGACATCTGAAGTACAAAGCTGAATCCCTGTCCTTCACCTGACAATGACGGTTGCAGGCCGGTGTGCGCTATGCCGTTCACAACCCATTGGCGTATGTTCAGAGCAATGTCGCCGGTTTCGTTACTCTCCTTGAAGAAATTAAGGTGCTATTTCGCCGCTTGCTTTTTGCTTCATCCTTGTGTCCTTTTTGCGGTTGTCACTCAACTCACGCCTCTTTGTTTCGATGTCTTAGAAAGCGGATCCACAGCCGGCAGTTGTCTACGCGTCGTCCAGCAGCGTGTACGGCCTGAACTCCAAAGTGCCGTTTTCCGAAGAAGATCGGACTGATCGCCCAGCAAGCTTGTACGCCGCCACTAAGGTACTGGATGCTTCCTATTCCGGCGCGGAATGTTCGCAAGTTAGTTAGTCGTTTGTGATTTCAGCCAGGCTTGTGGCGAATGGGCCTAATCTATCACTAACGCTTTTGATTCTCTTTCTTCGCTGTGTATGCAGAAAGCGGATGAGGTCCTGGGACACACCTACAACCACATCTACGGCCTCTCCATCACTGCTCTTCGATTCTTCACGGTGTACGGTCCTTGGGGTCGTCCGGACATGGCGTACTTCTCCTTCACGAGGAACATCATGGCCGGCAAGCCCATCAAGATCTTCCGTGGGCCCAAGGGAGAGGAGCTGGCTCGCGATTTCACGTTCATTGATGACGTCGTGAAGGGCTGCGTGGCCTCTCTGGACACCGCCTTGCCGAGCGTTGGCAGCAAGGGGAAGCGGCGGAAGGCTCAGTTCCGGGTGTACAATCTTGGCAACACCCAGCCGGTTAAGGTGGGGGACTTCGTCAGCATCCTGGAGAAGCACCTGAAGGTCAACGCCATTAGGGAGTAAGTAATTCTTGTGCCTTTTCCCCATCAATGTTTTCGTTTCTGTTCCAAGTTATGGTATGGATTTCCTTGTCAATGTTTTTATCTGACATTCTGACTCACTAATTCCTGCAGAGTTGTCCAAATGCCAAGCACTGGGGATGTGATGTTCACGCACGCCAATGTGACCAGGGCAAAGAATGACCTAGGGTGAGTGGAAGGAGCACACATCGTCCCTTGCTCTTCAGAATTGTACCGTACACTTCCGTCTAAAGACTCCTGACACTGGATTCTTTATGGCTCATGGCTGGCCTGCTTCCTGATATTGGATTTTTCTTGTTTTTGTCTTGCAGGTATAGCCCATCCACGGATCTTGAAGTGGGGCTGCAAAAGTTTGTGGACTGGTACCAGGTTTACTACAAGAGAGGTAGCGGCCATGAGCAATCACTGCAAGGATACAAGCCTTACTGATGGCACATGGATGCAGCATTGGAGGCGCCACTAATTGACTTGTGTAGGGCATTTATTGACACATCTGCAGCGAGGTTGCACTCAGCTGCCTAACCTGCTAACCTGGTTCTGCAGGCTAACTCCCTGACATAGTTCCACACTGGAGTAGGAGTAGGTTCATTCTTTTTTCTGCAGAAATGCTTTATTATCAACCACCAATATCAAAGGCGTTACTATTTGCAATAAAAAACCTTCAAAGCATGGGATAAACACTACACTAATGTACATATACGGTATTAATATATTTCTTTTTCTGTACACAATAAGGATCATGTTATGCAATTTACAGATGCAACGAGAGGTCAACCACGTCCATTTCAGCAGTTCCGCTGAGGGCCTTGGGGATGTTCTCGCCTTCACCAACACTGAGAACGTCCCTGTCCCCGAACCCCAAAGATTCCTCCTGGCTGCTGCATGATCGTTGGCGCTTCAACTGAAGCAACCCTCGGATTTCCGCAAGCAGCGCTGCTCGTTTGCCCGTGTCGACGACAAGCTCGCTGTCTTCCTTGGTACCGCAGCTATTAGCAGGCTGAGCGTTGCTCATTCCCGACATGGAGTCCTGCATCTGGCTGGATGGGTCGCGCTCCCTTGGGGAATCCTGGTTCGCGCAGGTCGTGAGCCGTGCAGCGGCATCCACCAGCAGCACAACGTCCCCATCAAGTCGATTGCCAGGATTCGAATCTCCCGCCGTGCGCGCGTTATCAGAATGGCTTCGCGGATAGCTTCGTTGCAAAATGCTCCTAGTATGCGGCCTCTTCTTGACGTTGTGCACCGATTTGTGGCCACCCAACGCGTGCACCGTGGCGAACCGCAGGTGACACACGGAGCACTCGTATGAGAGGTCCAGAGAAAGAGGTGAGTTGGGGGAATCACGAGGATCCAACGCAGAAACGACGCCGGAGAATCCAAATGGCCGCGATGCGGCTGGAGATGATGTCCCCTGCGGGTAACTCTTCTCGTAATCCGAAGAGACGGAGCGCGCCGGCGGCGCTTGCATCAAGCCCGCGAATTCCGCGGCGGCTTCGCAGGTGAAAAGGTCCGCAGAGACATGCCTTCGCAGGGAGAGGGTGTTGAAGTAGCCACTCCACGTGGACCCGCTCTCCGCCGGCTCGTCGCCGCAGCGGGGCGGCGCGGCCGTCAGCAGCTCTTCCCACAACGTCGCGGCGCGCTCACGCGTTCGTTTGGTCCCGGAATGAGAACAATCATCCAGCCACTCGTCATGAGAAGGATGCTTTAAATCGATGCTGACGCTCTCTGGCGGCATCGTAACACTAAAATTCTGCGACCTCCACATTTTCAGCCAGGCGGTCTCGATGACTGTCAGTAGGGAAGTAACTCAATGGTGGAGTGTAAGACGGTGAAGAGGAGGGATGGGTGAGGAAGCGGTTGCTATGTCTGGGTGGGCTTGTTGTCACAGTGGACAGTAGCGGCATTCGTAAGCTTACTGAGTGGTATCAGTGTTAGACTTTTCAGTTCTGCTGCGTAATCGCTTCTGAAAGGGAGGTGGGCTGCTGGGACGATTTATGCTCGAGAGACAGGGATAGCCGCAGGGCCGGTGGGAGGTTGGAAGGGAGACGTTGTTCAATGGTGCCACCTAGTGAAAGGCTCCACCTTGCGATTGCGATGATGATGCATGTTGTCAACTTTGTTAGGTCCCACCCTGGCGCGTCACTGCACATGTATCCGTCCTAGAATCAGGTACTGTAATTCACGTCACGAGGTCATTCCCCGAGGTGCATCGGGTTCTAAACTGAGACGCCTGGAGCGCGTGAGCGGCGGGCTTGTGGCGGGATGTGAGCGCAGCACGGCGACTATGACGCCGCGGCACGTTTTAGCCGCGGAATGATTGAGAGCAGCCAATAGTGATTCAAGGCGAAGAATGCCGGGGACACGTGGTCGCTCGACCTAAGGTTTCATGATGGGGCAGCACAGCACGCTCCTCAATTGTGGCTTCAAGCTCAAACCGCGTGTGCTCGCCAATCGCAAAGGGCAGAGTTCCATTTCAAGCTGGTCGTGAGGTGACCGTTGCTGTATGCAAGCTGCCAGCTTATGGCGGTGTTGGTTGGCATGGCGAGCTAACAAGCTCTCCATAAACCAGTGGGAGATATACATAGCAGCCATGGCGACGTCGCGGCAATTGTTGACTACAAGCTCAAGTTGCAGCGGACAGACCTCAGGCCAACGACAGCACGACTGCGTTGATTGTTGTCGCCTGCATCGTGTGCGTCGCATAGAGTCGTCATAAACCTCGTGCACTACACTTGCGGTGTCGCACGCGAGCAGCCAAACGCGACCAAAGGTCAGAGCGGGAGGGAGCAGGGTGCAGCCAGGCTGGAGGAGTGGGGCGGGTGGGAGGCTGGGCTGGGAGGAGAGGAGAGGCGAAGGTGAAGGGGGAGAGATCTGCCGTGTGCGCGAGGTGAGGTGAGGTGAGGTGGCCATGTCATTTTGGGGTTCGTTTGGTTTTCTGCCATTTTCGCTCGTTTGCGGTCACAGTTCGACGTTAATAAAATCTTATTATTTTTAAATCGGGTGCCAATGACAAGGCTGGCTGCTGGACTTGCCGCAAGTCGCAAAAAACGAGAAGCCCCCTTGGTTTGAGGAATGCACCCGTGGGATAAAGATGTGGGCGGTGGTGTAAAGATAGGTACGCGTTTACAGAAGCTAGGTTTTCCGTATAGCGTCATCGTGGTACAGACTGCGAAGAATGTGCTAGAAGGGAGCGTGTTGCAAAATATAATGTGTGCGTGTAAACAGTTCACAACTGAGTTGTTCTTGTACACTTCCGGTTGTTACATTTCGATACAGCACAAGAGTTTCGCGCAAGCCTGCAATTGGTGATGGCAGCAATTGCAGTGTGGATCAGCTGGATCGTTCGCCAAAGTCGCCATTTGCCGTCAAATGCCGCCTGCTGAATTGAAGTTACCAAGTCTCAAGATTTCGCAAGAATGGGGTCAACGTTTCTGTTACGTCGCCCAATCACCCACACGCACATCACACAACCAGCGAACTATGGCTACTATTGGCCTGCCTCAGAAAACAACTCCCAATGGTCGCATATCTATTCTCCCCTCAAGTCATAACCACCCCAGTGGTACATATTCCCTCTGCCCTGTCACTGTGTGACCTCATCCTAAGCCTGGCCATCTGGCTACCTCGTATAAATAAATCGCCATGCGGCGTGCGATCATGAAACGGGATCTCGCCGCTCGAGCGCTCGGCGTAGTCTCCGCGACGCTGGCGGTTCTCCTCTTAGCATTCGCTCCACTCCCGCTTCTCGCGCATCCGTCGCATTCACTAGTCGCCGCACCCAACGGCATCCCGGCGACCAGTCATCCGTCGTCGCACGTATCGCTCGCAACCCTTCCTCAGCGCCGACTGCTGCAAGCGCAGGTCAGCGCCAGGAATAAACTTGCGATTTTGTGCGGTTTTGTACGATTCTGTGCGACTTTGCACAACAATGTGTACTTTGTGCGAGCGGAAGCTTTATTTTGCCATTTTTCACGAAGGAACCCTACCGATTCCAGCGTAGGAGGCTGTGCAATGCACGGACATATTCGCCTCAGGTCTTGCTCGGAACCCTACTCCGTCATTGCTGCCAGCCGGCCGTCATTGCTGCCAGCCGGCCGTCATTGCTGCCATTACCGTCATGGCTGCCGAATTACCGAAAGTCCTGTCAATCGACCGACGTTGCTGTCAGCTGTCGGTAACTCGCGTTTCTCCATGACGAGCTTCTTTCAGTGGCGTCTGATCTCGTCACTGATCCGCTATTCGCGCTCCTCCACGAATAACCGTTCCCTTTTCGTGGATCATGCGATGTCAACAATCCATCCTTCATCCTCCCCGCCTCCAGCTCCCGCCCACCCCCTCGCTCTCCATCCTTCTCCGATTTACCTGCTTTCCCCATCCCCCTCCCCCACATTCCCCCCCCCGCCCCCCCCTCCCCCACATTCCCCGCCTCCCCCCCTCCCCCACATTCCCCGTATCCCTCCCCTTTCCCCCCGCAGCCATGGCGCAAGCAGCTCGACGACACGCCCGGAATGTCGCTCTTCCGCGCGCGGGTCGACCTCGCGGCCGCCGACGCCCTCGCTAAGCCCGCGCTGGGGCGGAAGCCGCGCGCGGAGGGAGGCGCCGGCGGAGCTGGCGGAGCGGGCGGAGGAGGTGGGGGCAAGAAGCGCTCAGGCGGAGGCCCGGGCGGCGCCACTGAGGGAGGCGCGGAAGCCGCAAGCGCAAAACCACGAGGTCGGGGAAAACCTAAGACGCTGGGCGCGGGGGGAACAGGCGCGGGGGACATGGGGTCGTACAACGAACCCGCCACCCCCTACGTCCCCCCCGCCAGACCCGCAGACGAGCCCCGCGCAACAGACCCCGCCCCTATCCCCTCCGCCGAACCTACTCCCGACCCGCAACCAACCCTCCCCGAGCCTACCCTCTCCGCGCAGCCGAACGTGTTCGCGGCAGCTGCGGCAGCAGCAGCGTCCGCGGAACCCGCGGCGCTGCAGCCCCTGCAGCCGCTAGCAGAGGCGGGGCTGAGCAAGCGGCTGGTGCGGTCCCTGCGCGACCTGCGCGCGTTCCACCGCATCAACGTGTCGACCGCCGTGGTGCAGCTCTTCGCTGAGATGGCGGACCACTCGCTCGCGCCGTGGAGCCGCATCCCTGCTTCTAGCAATGGCATGGGGCAGAGCGGCATGGTCTCGCCCTCGCTGCTCCGCTCCATCGCCATGCGCCCTAGGGTGCGCAAAGGGGGGGAGGGGGAGGGGGACGGGGAAGGGATGGGAAGGGATTGGGGAGGAGGGAGGGTGGGGCGAGTGGTGGTAGAGGGGCAATGGGGAAGGGGGAACTGGAATGGGAGATGGGAAAGGGGTGATGGCATGTAGCAGAGTGGAATGGTATTCCCTCTCCCCCACTTTCCTGCCCCCGTATCTCCCCCGCCCTTCCCTCCTCTCTCCCCCGCCTCTCTCTCA